TCAAGCAGAACTAAAAACATTGCCCCGTAATAAGTAAAAATAATAATCAACTAATTAGGGAAGTTATTGAAGCTGAAAAGATTTCGAGGTTAGAAGAAAACTGTCACTAAACCTTGTCCAGATTTATTACAAAAAAGAATTAGATTATCTTGCATCCAGATGAAACCAAAAATAACAAAAAAAAATCTTGTTTAAAAAGACAGGCGCAGGCAGAGAAGAAATAACACAAGTCTGAGTTGCAAGTCAGAGCTTCATGAATGTCTTTTCCTTTTGTGTGTGCCTGTGCTTGGTTGCGAATTTTTCGCGCTGTGGAGGAGTATGCAACACCAGCTTGCCCGAGCCTCCATATTTTTAATACTGCCAGTAGAAACTTTCACTTTGAAAATATGATGAGGACCGAATTTGAAAATTAAATGTCGCCAAACAATTTTTTGCGGACGTAAGGTTTAGGTTACGAGGTCAGTCATAGCTACTGGTGTGTTTAGCAAATTTTGAGGCAAATTTGTGACCTTGAAAAAAATTGCAGGTATACTGTTACATTCTCCTTAGCCTCCTGAAGATGTAAATCACTGGATTGAGCCCCTACCATATTGTTTTGTCTCATAACTGATGCAGGTATCTTCTTTTTTTCTTCAACCCAGTTCGGCGTAGGAGCTGCCAAGGCGTCCTGTCCCTTTCACGTGAGCAGTGGCCAGCACTGGAAGAAGCAATCTTTGGACTGCTGTAATCCATTCTTTGGGCAAGTGAATAAATTTCTTTGAAGCAGAGACCTGGTGTTTGCACAGCAGCTCCACAGAACAAACAACACAAACACAAATGTTTCTGTGCCCAAAGCCTTCGTAACTGCTTGAACTTATTGATCTGAGCTTGCACGTTGCAATGTTAAGGCAAGATGCAGATATAGATAATGTCTCTCTAAAAAAATTAAGGGCACCTTATGCTTGGATGCCTAGCTTGATCAACTTGGAACGTCCAGCCGAATTGAAACAAGGATCTAGCCGAACTGAAGCATCCAGCCGAATTGAAACTTGTAGCCGAACTGAAGATTTAGCCAAACTGAAGCGTCCAGCCGAATTGAAACTTCTAGCCGAATTGAGGATGTAGCCGAACTGGAACGTCCAGCCGAATTGAAACTTCTAGCCTAATTGAGGCAATAGCCGAATTGAGGCGTCAGCCGGATTGGGACGACACCGTAACGGCGGGGGCCCGCGTCCTCGCGGGCCCCGCCGAGGGCGAGGAAGGACACCGGTGACTGTCGACTTGTTTATTCAAAATCTCAGGGTCAACTGTTCTAAACCGGTAGTACCATGCATGACCTGATAGCGAGTTCGTTTCACGGCACTCGTGCCCACGCGTGCCCACTCGCAGCGTGGAACGGGTTCGTTTCAGCCGGCACTCCACGAGTGGTTGCACTCTCCGAGTTCGTTTCTACGCGTGCATGCACTCGCTGCACCGAGAAAATCGGGAGTGCGCCAAAATGCAATCCCGTCATGCCTCGCTCCGGCGGGGCCGGCGAGGAGCGAGAGCAGGCGACGAGGGTTCGTCTGCTACGATGTGTCGTGGAACCGAACGGAACAAAAAGTAGATTTTCTGATAGAAATCGCGTCCCGCGGGCCACGAAATCAAACGCCAGCTTGAATTGTGAGCGTCTGCTATTTCCCGAAGGAAGCAATTGACAACCCGTGATTTATTTGCAGGTTTTAAATCGCTCTGTTGCCGTACAAACGCTGAAATGTACCAGTGTGTAAAGAAATGCTCAGAACAAACGTAACAGCGGCCCCCGAGATGTCTATCATCATCCGTGTGCGGGTGAAAAATTTAACATTTGTGGACAAAACTCCCCCAGCAGAAACCTTTGACTGCCCAGTAAGCATCAGAGAAAGCTAAAGATGGTAACTTTACCCGTGGATTGGGCAACATCATCATGTTTAACATTTACCTACGTCAGCTAACTTGCCCCGTCGTATTTTGTTCGAGAAAGCTCTCGTTCTTGACGCCCGCACCAAGGCTAATATCTGATCCACCTATAATGACGATCCAAATCGAAAGTCCCAGTTTTGCTGGATATTCCAACAGGCTAGTTTTAAGCCGTACCCTTTCAGTGGTTCACGCATAATACCATGCTCAAACGGATCAAGCTTCTGCTCGGACAGCATCATCAGTTTTCTTCAGTGTAAACGGTTATAAGAATTGAAAGATCGCAACCAGCTGCTTCGTACACAACTGGGTGCGGAAATTTACGCTGTCTGTAACTATCTCTACGGCAGCCGAGCTGCTTGAAGTCATCGCAACTATAAACTACAGGTTGTAGCGACCAACGTTTGTAGATAAACGTTGGTAGTCGACTGCATTCTCGCATTCCCACGCATCACTCCGAACAGAAAGGCGCTAGTTTCGGTTTGAAGTCGGTACCTTTTCTACAACATAGATGGCGGCAACATCAGTCTTCTGCACTCGGTGCATTTGGCGAGTTCGTTTGAGTCCAGTTTTCCGTGCAACACTCTGTGAGTGCGATGCATTCTGGGAGAGAACTTGAACGGTGCCAGTGCGTGTGAAACGAACTCGCTATGAGCACGCGCCACTGCTTGTGGGGCACGCGCTTCTCTCGTTCAAAATTCATGCCCGTACGACCGCTAAACATGGCTAAACTGAGAACACTACAGCAGGTGAGTTTCACCTTGTTAAAATTTAAGGCACAGTTCTTTTTCTGTGGAAAATTAAAGCAAATACCTTACCAAAGTCAAGGTTGAGGGCGTTCGCAGACGACTGAGTTAGCGATCTCATTTACTTGTGGCGCCACCTCCCGAGAGGCGCACAGGCGAGCCAACAAAGTGCGTCGTCTGCTTGCTGCGTTTACTGGGAGATGGCACCACAAGACCGTCGCAAACTCGGTCGTCTGTGAGCGCGCCCAACCCTTCCTTTGGCAAGTTTTTATTAGCTCTATTTTTCGCAAAAAGAAAAAGAACTGCGCCTCGAAATTTTACATGGTAAAACCAGACATGCACCCGTTATTTGAAAGAAGTAATTAATCACAATTACAATTACTTGACCGTAATACTTACAGATTACCGATTAAGATGCAATTAATGCAAACGTGCAAGCGAGCAGGGCAAGAATGGCAATACTAATCCGTTGAGAAGGGGAACAAAGAGGGCAATGGACAAACGCAAATCTCTAAACACAGCTACAGATGACTGGTGCGCGACTGAAAAAATCCTCTTGGTCCGGGTATCGAACTCGGGACCTGACTGAAAAAATCCGCCTGGTCCGGGTATCGAACGCGAAACCTCTCCAGAGGTCCCGAGTTCGATACCCGGACCAGGCGGATTTTTTCAGTCGCGCACCAGTCATCTGTAGCTGTGTTTAGAGATTTGTGTTTGTCCTTTGTCCCCTTTGTTTCCCTTCTCCAGGGATTATTATTGCCAGATTACTGACTGACTGCAAAACGTAATCAATTAATCGCTTCGTTACTTTGCTTCATTATACATTTCAGTTACTTTCAGAAAGACAGGCAAAAATGTTATTTGCGTTTAATATCCATGTGCGCTGATAAAATAGGTTATTTGCTATACGTTGAGAGCAACTACTTTATGTTTGTCTTCTCCACATGTTAAGTCAATAAAAAGTGACGCGACAGTTCGAGCTGTCCACGAATATCTGTTCCTTGATCTGCGTCACGGCGGTATATGGCGCCGAACGCGAACCCCTTTATTCGGTGATAAAGTGGTCGTTACCGAGCGCAGTCTGTGTGACTCATGCTCGTATCGTAATCTTGAGTCGATTTTGGTTGACGGGCGTGGACACAGTGGATCATCGCGGCATAAAACGCGGAGGCGGGAGACTACGGATCATCGCGGTATACACTGTGGATCATCGCGAAGGAGAAAATAAATATACGCTGCTCTTATTCACATGGCCAGCATAAAGGTACATCTTTAAAGTGGGGAGGCACTCACTTGATCGAATGACGTTTTAGCGAACGCCCACGTTTCACCAAATGACACTTTAGCGAATTCTTGGACGCTGCGAAGCGGCGTTTTCGGGTGGGCCAAATGCGTTCACGTTTCTGTAATGAGCCGCCGCAGACTGTCGCCGCGAAGCGGCGAAAACGCAGCGCGGCGGATGGGTTAACGCGCGCCCCCGTTATTCGCTAAAACGTCCATTCGCCGAAACGTCGCTCTTCGCTAAAACGTTATTCGCTCATGTAATATGGACCCTCGCAAACTGCCCCACCGCCGGCCATGAAGGTGTTGTAGCTGAAGGAACCTTTATGGTCGTGGGAATGGGGTACTAGTATGTTAAATATTACAGAAAAAATCGTGTTTGTAGCTCCTCATGTGTTAGACTGCTTTGATCCACAAAACAGAATGCAATTGGTGACTGAATAATCGGACATCGAGTCGTTTTATGGTCTCTTTGATAAACTAGTTTGCACAGATCATATCTCTAAGCACCCAACCGTTTTAAGTTATAAGCGCACGTACGTTTTAGAATATATGTTTTACCTAATCGTTTTCGCTGACGCGTCATCGTTCCTGTTGCACTATTTAAGGTATGCTGGGGAGTAACATCATGAGCTGCCGATGCTTATATTCTTTTACGGAAATACAGTTTCCGCAAGCTCCGTGAGTAACTGTTCGAAGTGTACTTTACGTCGCACGTCAGCGGACTCGCATAAGCGGAAAAAAAGCAATCAAAGACAATGTTGCAAGTTTAAAGCGCCGTTCACACATATGCAACCGAGTAAGACCGAGAGAGACTAGACCGGTTTTAAGCCTCTTGCGACGCCTTAGGGCCAGCTCCGCTGCAGCGCATCCGATCCTAATACGTCGCAAGACGCTTAAAAACTGGTCTGGCCTCTCTCGGTTTTACTCTGTCGTATATGTCTGAACGGCGCTAAAAAGTGTGATGCAATCGTCAAATTATCACCCACAAAAAAAAAAAATTAAATTAATTCAAACAATGGGTTTTTACATATAAATAAGAAAAAAATGACTTACCTTGACATGTTTGAGTAAGTTTGATTTCGTGGACTTGGTAGACAAAGGCATCTTTCTTTAGGGGAGGCAGAGTGGCAATGCTCACTCTAAATTCTAACTCTAACTGCAAACTCTAAATTTGCAGTTTGCTTGGTGCCTTGAAGCTTGAACATAGGATCTAACGACAGCTGTGGTGACAGTGGAAAAGACATGATGAATTATTACTGCTAACACCTCTCGCGTTTTTTTTTTTTTTTTTTTTTTTGTAGCTATGAATTAGCGAGCTAGAGCGAGACCACATTATGAATATTTAACAGCCGGGAAAAAAGTTTGCATATATAAACCTTTCCGCCATAACGAGGAGAAAAAGAGGGTTGGGATGCAGACAGTATTTGGCAAGTGCTACACTATACTAATACGACAAGAACACGATGTTCTTGCAAACAAAAACAAAAAATGAAAGCTAAGCAAGGGAAACGGATTCACGGAAAACTCATAAGCGGATGTAGTGACTATTGTGAGCATCATTCTCCAAGACGACGCTATAGTTTCGCTTTTAGGTTGAACTAGGGCTCGAGTATTCGTCTCGACTTGAACAGAAAGGTGGAAAACTCGAGCCTCCATCACGGAAATTAAACGTCATGCTTTTTTCGCCGTGTAGCAAGAAAATAGAAAGTGCCTTCTGCCACATGAGTATGGCACGAATTTCACCCCACTCTTTTAGCGCACCTAGAGTATGCTAGTTCAGCAGGAAGTGCATCAGCAGAGAGCGCTGCTTCTTATTTGCGAGTCTTGTAATTCAAGGGAGGCCAGTCTGAATCCATCCATCATTGACGGTACTCTGTTTCTACACAGTGACCTCGACAAGTGGAACCTGCACGCGTGTGCGTTATTCTTTTCTCCACAAATGACAGGCTTCTCCTAAGTATGAGTGGTTCAAAGCACGCAGTTCCGGGTTCCTGTTTAAAACTTACACCTATACGTGTTGCCATTATTGAATATCGTGATAATTTGCTAGTGGTGTTCTCGCGTCTTACCACGTATAGCCTCTGCCTTTTCATCCCCTGTTGCATGAGCGCTGCCATCTTGGAATCACGTGACGCGGACAGCTTAAGGTGGCTTCAACCATGCACTCTAAAAAAAAAGCCCGTGCGTCTGCTTTCCCACACAGCACTCGAAGAGGCAATCACCGAAACTTGCGGAGGCAGCTCAGCGAATGACAATGCCGAAATATATGCTTAGACCAAAAAACGCAGCCTGAGTTATGACATTAGGCAATGCAAGCGTGACGTTTTGCTTTGCTTAAAGTCACAAGTCAGGCTGCGTTTTTTGGTCTAAACATATGTTTCGGCATTGTCATTCGATGAGCTGTATCCGTAAGTAGCGGTGATTGGCTCTCCGAGTGTTGTGAGTGAAACTAGACGCACAAACGTTTTTTAGAGTGTACTGACTCCGGCTCCCCACGCGAAGCCCCCTTTGTACAGGCGAGTGGGCTTCTGGAACAATCAGCGGAGAAAATTCGACGCGTAAAGCATTCTGACCTCAAACAAGCAATCGAGTTCTCGAATTTACCAGAACGCGACTATCAGAAAAATAACGAAAAGGTGCCTCCGCTTAGACATCGAACCTCGGCTTTTTGCGTGGGAAGCAAGCACGACAACCGTTCTGCCACGGCCACGCTTTTTTTATAGCCTACTTTGGCATGTAATACAAGAAAGGAGTAAAAATGGTAAAATCACATACATATACACACCAAACTATGCGCGTGTATACATTTTAAAATTCTTTCACGGTCTCGAGAACGCCCAGAATCGCGGTCCAGTCAGGTGGACATTCTAACGTGGCGTACACTGACTTCATGACGCGAACAAATTATAAAATATACACGTACAGGACACGCATCAACGTCCGCATGTCTCACGGCCATTCTGTATCGCCATATTGCATGCAGGCCAGGAGCATGACAAGGTAAGTAGGGATCTTATTATCTTTTTCGACGGGAAGGAACCGAATGCCATGCGGACTTAAAGGAAGGTCCCTTTTAATGGTTCGCTGGAGAACGTCCCAATATAAAAAAAGCATCCCAGCAGTTTAAGAAAACGTGCCCAATAGTTTCTTCCTTATTACACAGAAAGCTATCCACACCCCAAGGAACAAAAAGGTGTTTCTGTTTAAGCCAAGTTTTTACGGGGAGTGTGTTCGTGTGTAACGTAAAAAAAAAATGTTTTGACAGCAGGTGAAACTGACATATTTTTCACTCTAGATAAAACATCCTGTCCTAGGCCAGCATAAAATAGGGAACGGTACACTGGGACTGCAACAATAGTTTCAATAATATCTCTCGTTAAGCGCTTTTGCGTGACACTTGACAAATATTCAAGAGTAAAACGAACGCACAGAAAACGAAAAGCCTTAAGGCCCTGTCACACTGCGGAAACAGTCGGAAAACTTTGTCCTTCAACACGAGGAAAACATGTTTTCGGGGACCCTGTCACATTGCGGAAACAGCAACAGTCCGGAAACATGTTGCTGTCGTCCGAAAACCATGGTTCCCGACTTGTTCTCCGGCACTCGGGGAACATCCTGTCACACCGAGAAAGCGTGTTGGAAGAACACAAATTGCCTCCTCTCCTGCGTGCTGCATCCCTCTCTCTCTCGCCCTCGTCTGCCCGGCCGGCTCGGCTAAGCTACAAGCGCGAGCTCCAGGCTTTCAGCATCCCTGCCAAGCACGCGCGCCCGTGCAGTGCAAGCACTGTTCTGGGCCAGATGCTCGCGCTTGTAGCATCGGCTGCGTCTGGACCGAAGCTGAAACGAAGTATAGGCGGCTAGGCTCAGATCCGCTGGCTCCGCTCGCCCCTTGAGAGAGAGAGAACATGTATTTATTTAATGAAAGGTTCACTCGTCTAAGGGTTGGCGTCCCTGAGGCGAGAGGGAAAAGGAATGTAGGGATTTATAGGAAAGGGTAAGTGACAATGAATAAATCTAGATGAAGTGATGGACCCCAGAGTCCCTGATGTAGCTGACCAGAGAGTCCAGGATTTCTTTTCTGTGCTGCGGCTGTCCCTTGGGGTGGGTCCAGTCTTCAAGGTTCGTGGGCCTTTTCTCGCTGGGTAGCGAGTCCCATGACTCTACTCTAAAGTCTTCCAGGCCTTTGCATTCCCAGAGCACGTGTTTCGTCGTTGCCATGGATCCCTCTGTGCATGTCTTGCACGTTGGGTCCTCGTGGTCCTTCAGTCCGAAGGATGCTTTTTTCGCTGGAGTTAGTGCCGTCCCTGTCCTGATTCGCCGTAGCCGAACCGTCTCCCATCTCGTGTACCCTGGTGGTATCGGGTCTTCCTCTGTTAGCAGAAGACCCTTCAGGTACAGTTTCCTCCCTTCTTTGGCTTGCTCGGCCATTTCATCTGGGTCTATTGACATTTCATTCGTCGTTTCGACTCGAGAGGTAAGGCCTGGCGCGGAGCTGGTGCTGCTAGCTGCCTCCGCTGCGGCCTGGTGAGCCCTCTCGTTCCCCGGGATATCGTTGTGTCCGGGTAGCCACTCGATCCTTAAGTTGGAATCCAGCTTCCTGAGCTCCTCCGCAATATTCTTGATCTTCTTGACCGTTCTGCTTCTCGTTCTGCAGCTGCGGCAAGCTTTCAGTGCCGTCTGAGAGTCGGTGAAGATCCAGGCCCTGTTACCTGGGTCGATTCTTTCACGGATATCTTTGGCTGCGGCTAAAATTGCACGCAGTTCAGCCTCTTTAACCGAGGTCTGCGTTGGAAGCTTCTCTGACCAGGTCCTGTCCCTCGCAATGTCGACAAAGGCTGCTGCGGCAGCCCCGTCGTCCTTCGCGGCATCCGTGTACCTTATTTCCTTACATTCAGTGTTCTCCGCGAGCCACTGGACGTGTTTCTTGGCTGCGAATTTTCTCTGTTTAGTTCCTTGTCCCTTGAATGTTGGCTTGTGATCAGTTACGCCTATGTCTTGCCATGGTGGGGAAGCCTCCTCTATCGGTGGCCTACCTTCCGTGGAGTATCCTAGGATTTCCAATAGTCTTCGCCCATGTTTAGTCCTTTCGAGGCGTTGAAAGTGTGCGATTTGTTGTGACTCTGCTTTCTCCTCTATCTTGTTCATTCCTGCATATTTCCTTAGTTCGTCGAGGGGTGTGTATCTCGGTAGTCCAGTTACCACTCTCATGGTTTGATTGTTCAGTCTTTCAATTTGCTTCCACTGAGCCTTGGTGAGGTTCATCCAGTTGCAGCAGTAGAGCGCTCTGGATGTGAGGAGGGCTTCTGCCATGGTCCGGATTGCTTTTTCGTCCGCCCCCCACGATTTACTCGTTGTCCTACGAATCAATTTCAGAGCCTGGTCCCATACCTTCCTCAGTTCGGGTAGCCATTTGGTACTCCCAGCTGTTTTTTCAAATGTAACTCCGAGGATTTTTATGCTCGGACGCCGTTCTAGTTCTTTTCCCATGAGTTGAAGTTGCACTTGCTGTGCAATCCCTTTTCTGTGGTCCTTTGGTCTCGCAACGACCATGTATTGGGTTTTTTCAGGGGACGGCTCCATCCCGACTTATTCCAAGTACTTTGCAACTTCGTCGATGCCCCGTTGCATGGTGAACTCCTGGTCTCCCAGCGAGCCTCCTTTCGTCCACAATGTGACATCATCCGCGTATATTGTGAACCCGAGGTTTTCAATGCGTCGCAGTCTCGTTGGTAAATCTGCCATTACCATGTTAAATAATGTGGGCGATATCACTGCCCCCTGTGGTACGCCTCTGTTGTTGAGTGTCTCCGGGCCCATTGTGTTCCCGATTTTCACCTTAAACCTCCTATTGGCCAGAAAGTCTTTGATGAATTTTAGCGCTCTGCCCCTTAGTCCACATCTCTTAGCTCCTTCTTTCACCGCCCAATGCGGAACGGCATCAAAGGCTTGTTTTATGTCAAGAGCAACTACAAGTCTTGGATCTATGCTCTTCATGTCTGCCATCACGTCTTCGTATAGCAGCTTGAGACTGTCTGGTGTTCCCATGGCTTCTCTGAATCCT